TTACCTCCAGTCTGGGTCAAATGACTGGAAGCACTCTTTCATTCTTCTGATCAGTCACAAAGTTAATAATAATGTCTGTGTGATTCTCTTCCTTAGCTGAATTTTTCCCATTACAGTCCACATTTTCTCAGAAGAAGAAACTGCATTCACAGCTTCTGAATTTTTCATCGTTAAAAATGGAGGAACTTCCTTTGATGGGGGTGGCGTCATGTTGGTACCATAGAGCTGTAATGTACTAGAGAGAGAAACGGCAACCCTGAAGGGGAACAGGAATACGAACCACGTGACATTTGGTACATTTCCCAGATCGTATTTCCCACGAATCTTCCTTACCATTACAGTTCTATGGAGAATTTGTGAGAAGCAAGCGTTTTGCGTGTAAGCGCATTGTTTCGGACTTCAAAAATGATACTTTCGTGCTCCGCATATGGATGTAATTCCAGATATGTGAAAGATGGAGGAGTAACATTTCACAACTGAGCTTTTTCTAATGTTTTAAAAAACCTAATTTTATAAAATGTAGAGGTTTTTTTATCCACTCTACTTGCCTTTTTCTAATAAAAATAGATTTTCTAATTTTATATAATATATGCATACTTGAAATAACATTTAAATAAAAGTATCTTAATATATATGTATGTTTCTAATAACTGTTTTCTGAAAAAAATGTTAAAATTTTAGTAATACAATATAATTTTAATTAGTCTAGTATTCTGCTTTGGCGACATTTTTTATACGCCAACAGACTGCTTTGAATGCGTTTGTTTATATATTCTTTGTATGCGTTTGCTCATGCGGACATGTGCGAAGTAGTAATGTATGTATTTAATACTTGGTAATGTTGATGTAACACTGTGTAAGAACTGCATAAAATTATGTTTTTTTTGGGGGGGGACATGAATGACTTTATTTTATCCCCTTTTCTTGCATCCAAATATAACAAATTTGTTTACCTTCAATCACGTATTTTCTTTCTTATATCATGTTTCTGGCATTTATTCAAATATTAAGAATTTGTTAAGTATTAAGAAAATAGCAATTATATAGCAGTTAAATTTCAAAACTTTAATAGTTTTAAGTTTCTTTTTAAAAATAATGAACATTATTTAAATTTTACCTTCTAAAATTATTTAAAATAAGTGCGACTACATTGTGCAACGTGCATATATATATATATATATATATTTGCTAGTAAAAGGAAGTCTTAATTTACCACCTTTTTTGTTTCATAATTTAATTATTTACCACTCTCTCTCTTCCTTTTAACTTATATCTGCTATATTGACATTCATTTTTAGTTCATTTTATTTAATATCTTTCTCACTTTGATTTGCCTACTCTGTAGTTCTCTGTAATACACCGTATTAACATTAAATTTCCTTTTCGTATTAACATTAAATTTCCTTTTCGTATTAATATTAAATTTCCTTTTTGTACTATTTTCTGTTTTCACTCATTCTTCTTATGTTATCTATTTTTTATTTTTTATTCTGTCCTAAGTACTAAAAAGCCTTTTTTTTATTTATTTATTTTACTTATTTATTATTTTAGTTTGCTATTAGTTTTATTATTTAGTTTATTAGTTTATTATTTAGTTTGTTCTCTCCAGTTTTTTTTAATTTTATTTTAAATTTGTAGACGCCGATGGACATATTGCAAAATATTATTCTACAGCATGAAAATTATTTTAAATTTTAAAAATTAAAATTTAAATAAAAGTGTCCAATTTTAGGGAAATTATTAATTTTGGCTGGTGTTTATCGATCTAACCTCTTCTGCAAATTCAACGGCAGCTTCTGCGAAATGACGTCTTTCCAAGTTCGCATTTCGAACTGAGAGAAAAGAGAGGAAAAAATCGCCAGCCATGGCGATAGTACGCCAAAGTCTGGATTCAGTTCCATTTCATGCCCAAACTCCTGCAGCTCATTCCTGTGCCACTTTTTCACCCGGTTTTGAATGGCGATGCTCCATCTAGTATATAACAGGTCTATGGTTGGTACCTTCTTCATCTTGGATTAAACTGAGCAGGCAATGGCTTAGCAGCTGGTAATGACATAATCCATTATTCTTCATATGACTGCAGTGTAGTAGCTCTCGAGTCCAGCTCATAGTGACTAATAAAGCTGACTGCTTATAGCAGTGGCGCCCAACCTTTGGCCTCCCGCGAGCACATTTTGGCCTATTACGAGCACATTTCCAAAACATCAACATTTTTGTTAAACATATCTCTAATCTTATGTGATACATCTGACATATTAATTTTGGCAAATGGTTCTGAGATGAATAATAATATTGGTTGAACTTTATGGAAATCAGAGAAGCGGAGTTTAAAATTATTTTTCAGTGCATTTAGGTTTTCCGAGTATTTCTCTGTTTCAATTGCCTTGTGGTTATTACTATGGCTGGATATATTCTGAAAATGGGTGAAATTTCTTACTTTCATATGATTTATCCACAAATTTAACTTTATCTGAAAAGCAGTTACAGTCCCAGTCAACTGAAAAAGTTTTTTTTTTTTCTTTTCCCTGGAGATCTTCATTCAGTTTGTTCAGTTTAGCTGTTATATCTGTGATAAATTACAGATCAGATAACCAATTGTTATCGTTCAACTTTCGTTTCCGGACTCCAAAAACTGCTTTATTGGCGAAAGAAGTTCTAAAAATCGGTGAAGTGATTTTTCCCCTGCTGAGCCATCTAACATCGAAATGAAGCAATAAGATTCCATGTTCGCTATCAAGTTCATCAGTCAGCAATCAATTATGTTATAAAGTCTTGAACAATATCTCTTATGACTATAAATGCTTACCATATTTTAACAATTAAGAAATATAAATGAATGGTTATTTTAAAAATATTTTTTGTTCATAGTACCTACTCAAACTGGTGAGCACATACAAAATGATCAGCGAGCACAAGGTTGGGCAGCGCTGGCTTAAGGTCTCTTATTATTCCTTTTATTCTTCTTAGAATTGATTTCAATAATTAGAGGTTCAGTTTTCTGAAACTGATTAATGTACTGATTGCCAGAGAACTGGTCAAGATCCATATCTTTCGCATACACCAAAGCAAAAAGTTCCATTTCTGTTTTTAATAGATTCACTTTAAAAAGTTTTAATTCTTTCAGCTGCTATTGTAAATCCTCAACATTTTTAATTACTTTTTTATCCTTATCTTGGAAAAAAAATTAAGCAGAATTGCATATACCTGATTAACTAGATCAGAGCAGTATTCATGATGATATAATTAAAGCACGTGTATGTCATTTTTAATTTCTGCACAATTTTCAGTTTTCCTTTTTAACTCTAATATACTTCCTGCATTATTTCGGAAAGGTGGAAATTTTTTGGCAATTAAATATTTCATACACATATATTACAGCACCACTGAATTACTAATGCTATCAGCTGGCTACCAGATTTTTGACATCAGTTTGAACTTTCCTAGGCAGCTATGAAGCAATTAGCAAGGCAAATTAAAGATAGCTGATATTCTGGCAATACTGCATTTGAAAAATTGCAATGGAAAATTGCAATGATACATGTCACTGGGTACTCATCAGACCTTGTACTATATGTCAAGAGTAACATTTGATTGCTGGGTATTAAAAGATTTGAAATCACACTGCATTTCATCGCAGCCAGATTGTAGGGATCAGACATTATGCAGCATTCCATCCTTACAGTCAACGAGCTTTCCAAGAGTCACCATATCAAGAATCTATCATGAGTCTATGGATTCTGATAACAACATATTGATGAAAGAAATCTGCATTGGCAAGGCTGAATGGTAACAGCAGATCACCTATCAGCCCAGCACTGAAAAACAAGGGTGAATAGTTTCGACTGAGGGTGAGTCCTCATCTAGTACTATCTCATTACTACTGAGTATGGAAACCATCATCCCACTACACTAACTCTGTTCACTGATGCCAGTGGCAAAGTACAAATACATCACAAAGCTTACGAGGTGTAGATTCCTCTTTGCCATCTGGGTAGATGAAGGTGGTATCCTTGGGTAGGGACTATTAATGAAAAAATAAAATCTCCTAGCAACTACTGGTAACTATACCAAGGACCATATTAGATCATTTGCACTCATTTGTTCACCTACCACACCTTTTAGATCTTTACCTATAACAAAACAATGTGCCAGCCCATCACTCCCGAATTATTTCAGGAACACTCCGTAAGGGTGCTTGGCTGTGCCCTGAGGACAGCTGACTTATTAAAATATCTATGATGCTATCTACGATATTGAAATAGCTACTCCTACTGAAATACCCATAATGCTCAAGAGAGATATGAATGCATTAGATAACATTCTCCCCAATCGCACAGTGAAAAGCTATACAGCAGGCAATATGACTCTCCAATATTTCCATCACCTTACCAGTCTATGTCAAAATGCATCAACACTATCAAGAAGAAAAATTAATCATAAATGCAGTTTAATCATAGCATTAACATTATTTATATGATTCCAGAAATAACACTATATTAGACATTTTTACATTGTTTTACTGCTGGTACAAATCCATATTGCTAAAACTAATGCATGATATCTTTCTCCATCAGAAAAAAACTCCAAGAATTTTTTCCTCAAACAAGTAAATGAATGGGAATTATAGTGCAATTAAATTTGGGGGGAGGGGAACTAAACAAGAACCAAAAAAAAAATCTTTGGCACTAGCTATGTAAGTGAGTGTAATTTTTGTAAAATCACCAGTTAAGAGACAGAATATTATTTCAGGTACAGGATATAGGTTAATGGGACAGAATATTCTGTTATAGGTATATGTGTGTCTGTGTGGCATTTTTTAAAAAATTCTGTTAAGCATTTCTTAAAAAAAAAAAAAAAAAAAAAAAAAAAAAAAAATCCTGACAGAACAAGTCAACAGCACATATCTACCATATTCTTTTTATCTGTACATCTGATCAAGTACTTCAAAGTATATAACCATAAACTTGCATGATTAACTCAACATATAATCATAAACTTACTTTCTGTTTGGCAAAGCCAGGGTCAATGACAAATACAACACCATCAATTGTCAGAGATGTTTCTGCGATGTTAGTGGAAACTACTACTTTTCGACCAATGGCACCACTTGGTTTATTTGGTGGAGGGGGTTCAAATATCTTCTGCTGCAAGTTTGGCGGCAAAGTTGAATATAATGGAATGCATTTCAGGTCTCCTACTTCTGCACTCAAACTATCAGTTTCTCGTTTTATTCTCTTGCAGGCCTCTTCAATTTCCTTCACAGAAAAATTTAACATTAAAATTGGTGTCAACTTGCATACAATACATACCTTAAATTCATTAAAACAAGCATATAAATTATTAAAAAAGGGTGGTAAAGTTGAATATAATGCATGCATTTCACATCTCCTACTTTCTGCTTATGTCTTTCCATGAACTCTTCAATTTCTTTCGGAGAAAAATTTAACATACATGAAACTGGTGTCAACTTACACATAATACATATCTTAAATTTATTAAAACAAGCACATGAATTATTAAAAACTGAAACAGATCATTAGAAGTACACCATTTTTCATAAAGATAGGTTAAGATTTTACATAAATTGAAATATATATATATATATATATATATATATATATATATAAATTTTTAAAATTTTAATATGTGAAAAAACTGTATTAACATCGTCATCTACTACAAGTTTTAAAAAATGTATTTGAACTTGAGTGGATGAATAAAAAGCCTTTTATTAACAGATTAAGATTAATTAATAATAAATTTAAAAAAATTTTAAAAACTTTAAAGTCAATTCCTACTTAGGTCAACAAAGAAGAATTTTTAAAATACAAAAATTGAGTGGATGAATAAAAAGTATTTTATTAACGACTGAAAATCTGAACAAGATATAGGGAGTGTGAGCTAATAGTATGAATTTTAAAAAAAAAAAAGTTTAGGGGAATTTTTTCCCCCTAAACCTGCTTGCCTGATTATCACGAGTTATCTCGGGTTCATATTGCAGTTAATTATTATCCTGAGAAAACTCGGGCGAAACAATTTGTCAGTATGATTTGTTTTATCACAGTTTTACTACTCCTCAGCCTGGAGGAAATTAAAGGAAATATTCAGCTTTGATTGGCAGTTAGCCAAGTTTTGTTGGTTTCGCTATATGTGTTTTCCTTATTGTGTAGTATATATCAGCTTGTGCTTGTGTTACTAAACAACAAGGCTTTCCTTACTGTATAGTAATGTATAAAGAAAGATAGTTGCACTGAAAAAAAGTAAAACCATGTCGATGATGCAAGATAGTGAATGCAATGATTTATTTCCAGCATTAGTTCTTCATCACTCAGGTTAACTTTAAGGCATTTTTCAGATGTTATTTCTGCTACTGAAAATAAAATAAAATCCAACGAGACAGTTTACTCTGTGCTCCCATAAAAGAGATTAGAGGTAAAACAGTAAGGAAAGAGACCAGACATCAGTGTACAGAATGTCGGGTATCACTTTGTGTTGCCCCTTGTTTCCAAAACTATCATACAAAGACTAATATTTAACTTTTTTTTATTTGCCCGAGATAACTCCGGATAGCAAACTAACTATATTTAACTTTTTTTTATTTGCCCGAGATAACTCCGGATAGCAAACTAATGTTAAAACTAAATGCTTTTGTAACTGTAAAAAATTCAACTTAAAACCTACATATTTGGTCTTGTTTCCTTTCCTTACATTCAATAAAATAAAAAAATATGATTTTTTGCAATTTTTTTTCAAAACAATTTGTCAGGGAAGTAGTTAATAAAGGATGAACCTGAAGGCCATTTAATTCATAATCTTAACTGTACTTAATTTAAAGCCATGAATATTCATTACAGATTGGACATTTGCAATAAAAATACTTTCAAATGTTAAATGCTGTCAATTACAAAATCATTTTTTTGAAGTACAAGACTTATATTTACCAAAAAATGAACAGCAAAAGAATTTAATTATATGACAACAATGGTATATAAATTTTCATACCTCTTGTCCTGTAAGAAAAAGAAGGATATCTCCTTCTGTTTCCTCACACATGTGTATTTGAATAACTGTTCGAATAGCAGCTTCCAAATAATCTCTTTCTGGCTCTTGGGTATAAAAGATTTCAACAGGATGTGTTCTGCCTGGCACAGTCATTAATGGTGCATTGTCAAAATAATTCTAAATAAAGAAAATATATTGCAAAATCAGTAAATGCATGAAATTCATATTAAAATGATAAGTTCTAACAAAAATATTACTCAATAAACACACTGAACATGAACTGAAGCTGCATAAAACACAATCTAATACACAATACTATGGCAATATTTCTGACCTTTCTTACTCTAATAAACAATACGTTACCATTAATGTTTCATATCGCTTCTTACGAATAACTGCACACATTTGCTCAAAAGTTATAATTTTAGATGCATTCACCACTAATGAAATGACAATTGTAGATTACTAGTAAAGAATATTTTAAGGATATAAATGAAATAAAATAATAAACCTAAGTATCAAAATATATTTGCTGAGAGTGATAATGCAATTCAGAACACTAACAGACTCGGTAATTAGCTAAAATTTATAGCATTAGCTGAATTTTTGGATGATGGTGTATTTAATTATGGCAAAGCACACTAGGGCTATCTGCCTAAGAGGAGGGATGCCTTCGTGGAGGACTTTCTAAGGGAAACTGGCTCGTATACACGTTACACATGGGGAAAACCACGAAAACACCCATGCAGCCAGCCCGTTCGCGGGATTCGAACCTCAGACTGAACTACTAGTGTTCAGCGACTTTACCACTTAGCCGCTGGTGGGTGATTTTTTGGATGATAACAAAGAGGCCTGAGATGCATAAAAATATTCGCTCCATGTTGCTTAACAAGTAAATTACAGGTTCGAAAATCTGAGCCAACACTTTTTAAAAAACCAACATTTATTTTTCACGCCATTTCTTATTCTACAAAATCTTAAATGCAACTAACTATCAAACAGAAAAGCAGACGTAGACGTAATGCATCTGGGCATGCGATCCTCATGACAGACGAATTCTTTAGGGTTGGCCACAGAAAGCAGCGTGTCACCACAATTCTCCCACCTTTTGAGTGGATGGCTACACACTCAAAACATAAAACTTCAAAACATAAAACTTACATCAATATAAATGAGGGTTATATAACAAAGAAAATTACTTAATACTTAAATCATAATAACTCAAAGACATGAATTACATTATTCGTGATTTTACAACTCTACCACTACTACTGGTGGTGAAAGGAACTTGATCATTTTGAGTATTATCTATTATACTATTCAGTTCCAATCTAAACAATCTCATTATTGGTCTCAAGAACTCTGAATTATTACTTTTTACAAGAGCAACTCTTATGTTGCCATCTCGAACAGGGATCACGCGAATAACGCATGCTAAATTCCAATATGCACGGTTTTTATTTTGATCCTCCAGCAAGACAATTTCTCCTACAGAGAGAGGTTTATTTTTGGAATTTCTGGTAGACTGCTGTCTTAACTGCCCTAGATACTCTTAACAATATAATATAGAAATCTCATTCTTAACAATTCTCTCATTCTTTGGAGATACTTTGCTCTTCTACTCAATTTTTCTTTGTCCAAATTGTCAATATCAGGTACACCCGACTGTGGAGTTTCATGCAGAAATTTTTCCGGAGTTAAAAGCAAGGGATCTTCAATATCGTCAGATACGTACGTGAGTGGTCTTGAGTTGACAATTCTTTCACAATCGCATAAGATGGTGAGTAACTCTTCATAACCAAGAGAAGCACAACCTAAAATTTTTCTTAATATTTGTTTTACAAATTGTATTAAACGCTCCCACCAAGCGGCGGATGGAGGACTAAATTTCCATTGTATTCTCTTTTCAGCAGCCCTAGAGCAGAGGCAGTCCCAGTCAATGGTTTGCAGAACTCTCCCTGCACCTACAAAATTTGTCCCATTATCGGAATATATGGTGGTAGGACGTCTACGACGTGCAATAAAACACCTTAAAGCCTGAAAAAATGATTCAATTGTTAATGAGGTAACCAATTCCATATGGATAGCACGATAAACCGCACACGTGAAGAGCACAATATATGATTTTCGTCCATCCTTTAAATGCAAGGGTCCTGCAAGATCACATCCTACGATTTCAAAAATGGCTGAATCACGAACCCTATCATTTGGTAAAGCGCCTGGGGCTGTCTCACCTCTTTTAGCCTTAAATCTCTGACATGTTACACATTTTCTTATACAGTTCCTTATAGTTTTACGTGATTTTAAGATCCACTATCTTTCTCTTAAATGCGACATCAATAATGTAGTACCTGCATGCAACAAATCTTTGTGTGCACTTAATATCAATAATTCGACTACTGGATGTTCAGAAGGTATGATGGGGAATATGATGGGGAACTTAAAGCTGCTACAGTCGTCATGATAAGCAACATTAGACTTAGCTCTTATTAGACCCTGACTATCGACAAATGGTCTCAGTCGTCTTAGCTTATCATCTGTTTCACCACTAAATGACTCTTTTTGTATTAATAGCATTAGAGCTATTTCTCCCCTTTCTATTTCAGATACAGTCGAATCCTTAAAATGGTTGTTATTATTATTCTTATGTACATTATTATAAAATCTGAATATCCATGATAACATTCTTATAATTTTCTTAAATGATGAGAAATACTTATAGTACCATCCAATACAATTATCATTCTTTACCAACATAACAATAACTGTCTTACGTATTTCTGAATTAACTAAATCCTCATCTGGTTCATCATTAGATTTAGGCCAATTTGCATCATCTTCTCGTAACCAATCAGGTCCCACCTACCATTTTTGTTCTATTAATTGATCTGCATAACAACCTCTAGAAAGTAGGTCAGCAGGATTGAGAATACCAGGGACATGTCGCCATACAGTGGGGGAGGTCAAAGACATGATTTCCTGCACACGATTAACAACGAATGCTCCCCAATGTTGATTTCGCCATATCCAACTTAAATCCTACTTAAAGCCGTCGAGGAGTCAGTCCAACAGTGAATACGAACTTCATGTAGGCCAATATCATTAATAACTGAAGACAATAACCTAGAACCAATATTACAAGCAAGAAGTTCTAATCGAGGAATCGTAATAGGTTTCAAAGGCGCTACTCTCGATCTTGCGTGTACCAAATTAAACCTTACCTTTTTGCCACTCTGTACTCTGTACTTTGCCACACTGTAAAGACGCATGCACCATACACACTTTTACTACTGTTACAAAAAAGATGTATACTCACAGCTTCATTAATAAATTTGAGACCTACCCATCTAGGTATTTGAATACTGGATAGCAAGTACATCTTTTTACGCCAAAACTTAAACTTTTTGGTAAATTCATCGGGAAGAACATCGTCCAATTTAAGCCTTAAATTCCAAGTTTCCTATAAAATTAGTTTTGGAATCAACATTACAGGAGCTGTATGCCCTATAACGTCAAACACCTGATGAGCTACTGCTAAAAGTAATCTTTTAGTAACTGGGTCATCCAATTTTATATCTTGACTTATTTTGCAAGATAAGGTATCTGTAACTGTATGCCATACAAGGCCCAAAACAGACACATCTCCTTCCATGGTGGAATCTTCCTCTGGCACAACACTTCTTATATTGGATTTCTAGAATCTTAAATTAAAATGACCTGAAACCATAATTATTTGTGATTCATTTACAAGCTTTCTCATTTCTATTTCTGAATCCATACTAGCCACACAGTTACCTACGTAAAAGGATGTTTTCAAAATCTCCGCTGTATGACTTAAGCTTTCGGGAACTACACTCAAATGATATTTTATCGTAGTGGCCAATAAATACGGACTACATGTAATACCAAACACTACCCTTCTATGCCAATACAATTCAACTTGTTCTCGATTATCCCTACTGAACCACATAAATCTCAAAAAGTCTCGATCTTTTTCCCTTATAGATATTTGAAAGAACGCTTTTTCTATATCTGAAGTGATACCAATGTAATTCTTGCGAAACCGATTAAGAATCGAAGGTATAATTTCAATTAAATTTGGTCCAGTAGATAAACAATCGTTCAATGATGGGTAACCATGCAATGAGAACTTGCGTTAAACACTGGTCTTATACTCGTGCTACTATTTTCTTTAACAACCGCTCTATGAGGTAAATAATGTACACCCTTATATTTATTCTTATCCGGTACTTTTTCAATTATCCCGAGTGCTAACCAGTTCTGGAAAACGTCTCCGTAAGCGTCAAAATTTCCCGTAGTCATTAATTTTCTTTTCGTACTTACAAGACATTTCGCTGCTTTCACTTTGTTTTCAGGTAAAAGCGAGCTTTCCGACACCCAAGGTAATACTACTTCATACCTTCCCTCTGAATTTACTGTAAGAGTCTCTTCAAAATATTTTTGCATATCCTCCTGTAACTGAGTTTTGGTTTTACTTACGGAATGTTCACTAATACACAAAACATCTAACTTCCAGAGATCACTTATACACTGACCCTTCACTAACAGAGAAGAAATTAGGAGGGATGCAGTATTTATCATAGTTGGCTCAGTGCCAGTAAATTTACCCATAACAGTCCAGCCTAACTGCATATGCATTGTGCTGACGCCACACGTAAGGGGAACAATTTTTCCAGTTAGCAACTTTCCGCACCAATTAGTAATTTTATCTCTTTATCGACATTACATGTACCATTTTCTAAATCACTTAATTTGATACCATGTGACTTAAGTTCGCGTAACCACAAACCAGATGGGAGTTGTTCAATTTCAGAACAAATTTTGTTTTGACCAAGTACCTTTAATTTACACTTATATTTACTATATATATTGCTTACTTCAATAACATAGTTTTTATATACATTTTCTGAAGTCTGAACTCCACCAAAAAGAAATTGCTTAATTTGAGATTCACCAATACACTTACAATTTAACCTTTGAGCAATATCATTACATAAATATGATTTCACAGAGCCACTATCATAAACTGCTCGTACAAACATTTCTTTAGAACCATTCTGAATTTTTACAATTAACGTTTGAAGATATACATCTGATACCTTAACATAGTTATTAAGAATTCCTGTTTTGTTTTCGTCATTCCCTAACTTTGTGACACTTTTTGTTTTGTTAAAAGGCAAATCAGGGCACATAATCACAAAATGTCAATTTTTACATAAGGTACACCTATGTTTAGCTGTGCACTGATTTGCTCTATGGTTTTTCTTAAGACAAACAAAACAAACATTCCTTTTTTCTTAATGATATCTTTCTTACATTCTAAACTCATTAAAGATGCATCCTTACAAACTCATTAAGACAAATGGGATTTTTTCACAAAAAAAAATACAAGTACTATCAGACTTTCTATACTTTTGAAAATTTTCATTACAATTACTACTATTTGCATTAATTAGTTTACATGCAGTTGGAACAACAGGTTTTGAGTCAAAAAACTTATTTTTTCTTATTACTTACTTTATCAGAACCCAAAACCATCATGGGTAAGTTTTAACTCTAAATTCAGTTTCTACTTCCCTTTTTAGAAAATCAATTAATGACTCCAAATCACTCTTATCTGTTGTTTCAGGTGACATACCTCATTGTCTTTCCCAAATTTGTATTAAATCATTAGGAAGTGCTGATTCCACTAAAGGAAATAAAACAACTGCAAATTTATCTTTAGTTAAACCGAGTTAAATCATATCCGTTCTTCCAACTTATTAGCTGTTTTCGTAAATGCACTCCTAATTGCTTTTCGCTTCTGTTTTAGTGTTTCTAAATCCTCCATGTTTGCACCTAGGAACTTCTCTTACTTTCGTAAATTATCAAGCGTCGAAATCGATAATGTCACCCTGTGACATTAATCCTGGCAGGTTCGCCAAATTTGTTGCTTAACAAGTAAATTATACATTCGAAAATCTGAGCCGGCATTTTTTAAAAAAACCTACATTTATTTTTCCCGCCATTTCTTACTCTACAACAGTGCTCCGCAACCGGTGTGCCATGAGTAGGATATAGGTGTGCCGCAATCAAATACATGTATTTGACATTTTGCAATTTTTTATCATGTATTTAATACACAATGACAATTTTTTCCCTTAATAATGTCTATTTTAAATGTTTTTATATATTTCACTGTTGTGTGGTTGTGTGTGTGATTGTGTGTGTGTCAGCATTTGAATTTTTTCGGCACTTCCTTGATAACTCGAAACTCAAAAATATATAACTTTTTTTAAGCGCAGGTATCACATTGATAATTATTATGATTGCATATAAATAAATATGTTATGGTTTTATAATTGTATATTTTTCAAATTAAAAACAAAAATTTATTGCAAATTTTGTGTATAAATCAATACATACATACATTAGCTTTTGGTGTGCCACGAAATTCCAGAAAGATTTTTTGTGCGTCGCAGGTGAGAAAAGGTTGCGGAGCACTGCTCTACAAAATCTTAAATGCAACTAACTATCAAACAGAAAAGCAGACGTAAACCTAATGCATCTGGGCACGTGATCCTCGTGAAAGAAGAATTCTTTAGGGTTGCCACAGAAAGCAATGTGTCGCCACACTCCATTCATTTCCTTCCCTTTTATAATGAATTTGTACTTCCCCCACCCTCTCCTCCAAAAAATCAATTTTTCCTCACAATGCAAGGACTAAATTTGTGGGGGGGGGAATAGATATTTCATTCACAACTACATTAAAAAAATGTATAGCAAACTGCTTAAAAAACACAATGTATAAAATGATTACAATAAAATTGCAATTGTTGATTGCAGGAATTGCATAAGTCACACTTACTCAATAAAAAACTATTTGAGTAAGTGTGACTTATGCAATTCCTGCAATCAACAGATATACTTCTTCCATCATACCTAGGCTTTATTGCCGAATTTTCAGCTTCTTTAATCCTCATGACTAAAACTTTCAGACTCTTGACCTTTATGATCACAGCAATCCATTAGCTAAATAACTTTTTTTAAATAATAGATTATTTTTTACTTATATTTTATTTCCAATATTTAATTCATATCACAGCAAATTTAGACATGTAATTCCCTTATAATTCCCTTACTAAAAATTACCTGGAATTTTCCAGCATCCAAAGTAGCACTCATTACTACTATTTTCATGTCTGAACGCTTTGATACAACTTGCTTTAGCACACCCATTAAAATATCTGTTGCTAGAGTACGTTCATGAGCTTCATCAAGAAGAACTACACCATAGGCTTCTAGTAATGGGTCACTCATAGCCTCCCTCAGTAACATACCATCAGTCATGTACCTAAATTTTTTTTTTTTTTAATTACTAAAAACAACTAAATATATAAAAAACTTTAAAAATAACATTTAAAAAAGCATTAAAAGGATATTAAAACTGCATGGTATTTGCTTACTTTAGTATTGTCTTCATAGAAGAGCAATCCTCAAAACGGATACTATAACCAACTTCTTGACCCAACATGACATCCATTTCCTCTGCAACTCGAGCTGCAACACTCATGGCTGCCACTCTCCGGGGCTGTGTGCAAGCAACACCTCGCCGAATTCCATTCTCCCGCAACCATTCAACACACCACTGTGGTATCTAAAATTGCAGAAATGTAATTTTAAATTATTGAATGAAAAATAAAGATGTTACAGAATGCAAAAATACTCTAAAAAATATTAACGCAACAACATGTATTTAAAATGAGTTTCTGTTTGGGAACTATAACAAATTACACAGCATAAAACTACGCAGGGAAAGATATTTTGTTACAAAACAAGTGCTAAAAAGTTGCCATAATCTATAAACACCAGTGCTTATTAACACATAAATAAAACATAATGGATATCACTAAGTAAAATGTTGACACATTTAAAAACCCTAATGATTTATACTTATTTTACACCAATTTTTCTATGTTTCACTATGTGCTAGGCAATGTAAAACAAGTAACCTCTTAAAAAAAAGTAAATATTTTTTTTAATAATCACAAGGTAGAAAATAAAGTAGCAGAAAAACATGCAAATCAGACAATTTAGACAGTAATTTGAATCGGACAGTAATTTGAAGCAACTTCACTGAAATATTAATAAAACTACATGTAGCGAGAGAAAAATAATGATAATAAAGAACTGTTTTATACAAGCATCTAAAATGTCATAGTGTCAGGATACTATCCAATAATCAATAAATATCTTATAATTACAGCAACCTAGAAGTTTGCTGCTAAAGCATTAAAGAATCCCCATACCCAATCAGCTATTAATCCTGCCAGTTGCTTCGAGTTCCCGAAGGCATACAAAAGCATAACTATCAACTTTGAAATATGAAAAAAAGGGATTTTCAGAAGATGTTCACGATTCAGAGAGATGCCATTTCAAAAGAATTATAAACTGACTTAAATTCACTTTATAGTGCTGGATTCAGATTACTGAATTACCTGTAATGTGATTATGATGTAAAATATATTAATACTGAATGAAGACTTTCTAAATTTTATGGACTTATTATGAACAGTTAATTTGCTTTTGTAATTTTCTGACTTTTAAACTGAACAAAAATTCTGATTAGGGAAGAAAAGCTTTTATTTATCAAAATCCTTTTAAATATGGTGAAAACAGAATTACTAATTAATGTACCATACTATTGACAGGGTTTGTACACATTTCTGCGCATGGAAATTAAGGACTTTTAAGGACCATTAATGAAAAAAATTAAGGACCTATGAGCAAATGTGAACTGAATAAATTCAATTACAAGCTTTATTTATGCCTGAATTTCATCTTTGTAATACCATTCTAAAAATACAATAGATCCCTAAGTATGAAGCACTATTATTAACCATGAATTAATTAACATTATTATTAATAATTTTGAGAATAAAATAACTTTATGCAGTTTATCAAGTAGCATTAAATACTTTACACTTATAATAGTTGGCCATAGTTGAAAGAAGTGACATTTACAGTTTATTAACAGTACATACTTGTTCAGTCTAGAGGTTTAGTCAATAGCAGGTAGATTTTACGTCAAGCGCCATAGTAGAATGGAGTGGCACAAGATTTTAGATCCATCATGAAGACCAGTAATTAAACAGCATTTATGCAGCAGTTTGTATTACTTATTTTAGTCTGCATGTTCATAAACTTACATTCATTAAGATGATATTTACATTATTAAAGAAAGTAAAGCAAAATATCTTAAATTATAAGCTAATATATACCAAGTAGCCAAACTTCTAATGACCAGATATACCCGGTCATAACGCTCCGAGGGTTAAAATGAAAAGTAAGATCATAATCAGCATGATTCATAACAAAAGACTGAATGTTGTCACTGCTGCTGCTTGTCTAGTAAGAGACCTGCTGATTAGAACAAAACCTGAAAGGCCTGATGTAGGCACAGTTGGCAAGTTTTGAAAGTTAGTTGGGCTTTGTTTGATGCAGTTACTGCCGTAGCTTCATGTAGAGTTCCAGGAGCTGTAACCTAGTTAATAATAAAGCCTCTAAAGCACCAGAGATGATAAAATATTCTGTATTATTTTAAGTATCACTAGATGCAAAGAATAGTTTTCCATGAATTCTTACATTTTTCTGTTTTATCTTGTGACCACAGTAAGGATAAGGCGATAACTCTAATATACAGAGATAATTTTTAAAGGTAAGCATTTAGTTATAAATAATTAAATTAGGTAGTTAGATAACCTTCGTCATTATGGATTTGCATGATCACTATAAAATTTTCTTTCAAGCCATATTAAAATTATAATCTAATAAAATTTCAGTTTAAAATATATGTAAATTATGACATTGATTGTTAAGCAATATTAGGATAATTAGACATTAAAAGCTGCAAAACATTTATGTCTTTTAACAAAATACTCAACAAAATATTTATGCGTCATTTTAATTTGAAGCCTTCCCAGACATTTTGGCTAATTTTCATCAATTTCCTTCTCTTTACGCATCTTTTCTAACAATCAAAATTTTGTCTCAATACGCAAACCAATGTTCTGACTAGTTTCTGCATGCTTTACCTGCTAACTTGTCAACTTCTCCCCAATATACCTGTGAGGGTTTTACTTGATCTGGTAAAAGTTAAATAGTTCCAACCCCCCCCCCCCCGACAGACAAGAAGCAAATTATTGCTATGTCTGAAAGTAACTATAATATCAGACAAAGGTTTAAATAAACCTTTTATTTAAAAAGAAGTTAGAACAAAGGCATGTTCTGATGCTAACAAAATCAATTATAGCTCATGGTGATGTTATTAAACAAGAATAGTCAAATTCAAATTAAAAATATGGACTAGTGGTCAACGATTATACAATTTAATTTTAATTTAAGCTGGATCAGTAACTATCATATGAGGAAATAGAAACAGGAAATTATAAAAAAGGCTGAAATCATAAACAACTGGGTAATTTACAAAATAACTGTATATATTCTTTGAAGAATAATTTTCTTCAAGTACAGTCAAAAGTCTTTAATCTGGACTCGTCGGGACTTCGGCGATTCCGGGATTATCGGTTTCTCTGGATCATAGATCATCAGTTTAAATCTGGTAAGATGGCATGCAAAAATTATAAAATTAAAAATATGAAACCACAATTTATGAAATAAAGAGCAATTATGATCTAAAGGGTATCAAAATTTACAAAAAAAAAAAGCTTAATATTTATTTGTTTACTTTATTAAACATTTCTCTCAACGCACGCATGCGTAAAGCATACATACGCATAGTCAAAACTAGAAAATTGCAACCAGAAAACTATTTGATGTGTATTCGTGATATTTATAATGACGAGGAAATTGATTTAAATTATATCGGAGTACATTGAGATGAAACACTACATTTAGTGAGGAATTATAAGCCAAATAAAATAAAAACATCTGCCCTGAAAATGAGGATAGTGCTGACAGATCAACTTCCAGTTCATTGGGTACCACGACATTTACCCCCTCCCCCCGCAGAAAGCGTGAAATTTATAAAACAGATTTTGGAATGGTTAGAGAAACAAATCACCTCTCTGTCACTTACTTCATGCCTTTATCCATTTTTTGCAGCAATTCCAATTTTTATTTAATGGACATCGAAACATGCTTTCACTTTGTAGATCCTTTGGCAGCTCCAGAATTGGAAACTCTTTTTGGCATAATTTTAAAGTTCAAGCTTACTTTTATAAAATTGCTCTAACAGTCTACAAAAAATAATAAGCCGGATCCAGTTCGAAGATTAAGGAACAATGCAATCTGCAACATTAACTGAAATGCCTTAGATAATTTTAGCCTAGCTTATACCGTCCGATTTTGGCAAAAATTAAGAACTTTTAACGACCAAAAATCGATTTAAAAAGACTTAAGGACTCTTAAGGACCATACGAAGCCTGTATTGTGTGGATAAACTTAGTAATGTATCATTTACTGAAGTAAAACAAAGTAACTGATTAAATATTGGTTGATCTACTTAAAAAGCTCTAGAAATTCTTTCAGTAGATTAAAACAATTCAGTCCATATGAAACTTAATACGAAAATTTCTGCTGAAAATCACTATGGCTGGAGTACAGACTCTGTACAATTTATGTTTCATCAATTCCTTAAATTTCATTCATAGCTAGGAAACATTTTCTTTGGCAGTTTTTCTCAGTAAAGATTAAAAATTTAAAAAAGGGGATAAACAGTGATCTACTGGCAAACTCTAAGATATGTAAAAAAAAAAAAAAAAAAGCGAGAGAATTAGTGACTATGTAAATGCATTCAAATTCCACATAGATCAACTACATACGACTGATCATACACACAAATGCTGATTTTGAAATTTTAAAAAATTTAAATTTTAAATATTTGTTTAAGCAATAATAATTATCATCAAAACATTAAGTTCTTAGAATTTTTTATTAAAATAGATTAGCTATATATGTTATTTTCCTAGTGTCAAGTTTAAAAACAAAACAAAAAATATTTCTTAAGATGGTATATACATGAAAATACAAAAGAATATATTACATCAATTAGTTCCCATATATAAGAACTTTATACGTGCATTTACTGCACTAAATCACTAAGTTGTTAATCGCTATTGGAATAAATTAGAAAGAAGAATTATATATCTCATACACTGCTAAATCACAACACACTGCAGTGTGGAAGATAAAAATATTTTAATGCGGACAGTGTTAACACTCTTCTTTTAAATAACTAAGCTTGTTAATTAACTCTTAACTGCAGAGGAAAATTTGACTCGCTGCACAGTGCTACCGTTTTTTGTAGAGGCATATGTAATAATGTGGTGTATTGGGGAAAAAGTAGAGATACAGTTTGCAATATAAAAAGCATTTAATTTTACAAAAAGAAAATATAAAATTTAAAGTACAGAGTAACAGAATACAATAAAAAATAGGTGTTGAAACTTGGGTGCCATGTGATATATTCTAAAAATGGTTAAACACACATCCAACTCACATTCAGCGTACTGATAGCAGGATTCATAGCAATTTTTTTTCTTTGAATAAACAATTTTCTCAATGCATTTTGCTTTGAGGAATGATAGTACTAAGCCTGAAAAGTATTTAGCACTCAAGTTGCAAAGAACATCACTTTGTAACTTGTGTCTTCTGAAGGGCTGTGATACAGAAACATGGAGTTTCTCAACTATGCATTCCACCGAATTCATGTGAAAGTCATAGTTATCAGTGCTTGGGTGTTGTTTCTTCTATAAGATGATGACATTTCAAATAGTTATATCTAAAAGATGGTGAAATATTGTTATAGGATACTCCTGTATTTTTTGAGTTGTTGGATAAGAAACTAGTACCTGGCCAGATCTATTTACTTCATTTATCATCAACTTATAATCTACACCTGCAACTAGCTTCATAACTTTCTTATCTGTTTCACAACAGTTTGTAATATGAACAGAGCTAAGAAGTGAGACATATTTTTTTGCCATGCCAGCTTCAATACAGTAATTTTGCCTCACTGGAAAGCAGAATTTTGCCTTCCTACAAAAGTATTGTTAAAACTTTCCTGCAAATCACATCAATTAGGATGAGTTTCATATACTTCAATTTTCATTTGGGTAATTCCGCTAATTCTCATGACAGAGAGAGAAATTGTCTGCAATAACTCAAAAACTTTTTCCCAAAAAAAGGTTCAACGAGCGTCATCACAGATTTTATACTCAATAGTTCTCATAACTTTTTATTTAAGACACTTTCCCTGTGAACACAAGTGTATCATGAACATATCTTGATTCTGCTTCACTCAAAAGAAAGCTCTTTTCAATTCCATGAATTGTATCCATGATAGCCTGCCTGCCTTTCAAAAGCATCAAGCTTTCATCACTGCTAAGATCTCTTTCGGGTGTATGAACACTTGAAAATTTCTTAATTAAGTCAGAAGAAACAGGCCATATTTTTTTGAGATTTTTGAGTGATTTAGGATGTGAATTTCAATCAGTGCAAAAATTTCATAATAAGCTGGAAACAATTTCTGCTCATTTCCCAAAATTTGTAGCTTCAATCAATTTACTTTTAGACCAGTAAAGTGTCAGGTTTTACTGTTATTCCTTATAAAATTAGTATACCTTATTAAAAAAAACATACATATCTTCTGAATATGTTGGATACTCCAACTTCATTCTTGATTTCTCTCTTCCAGGACATTGGCAGATGTAATCGTCAGCAAAACAGATTCCGCAATAATATGAAGTACATAGAATTATTGCATTTTGGCAAGTTGCAACACACTTCTTTGATATAGCTGAGTTTTCTGATTAAATTTGAAAATACTTAAAGCTTTGTAGAGTAGCAACACAAAGTTTTAAACCACAAAATTTTTAATCAGAAGTTTAATAAATTCATATGATATACTAAATAAAAACAAATTAAACATTCAGACTTTGAGATGCACTATGGAGAACTATGTGTGTTCAATATTTGGTGGTTGTAAGTGTTGCCATTTTTACACAATGCAAGGATGTACAAACATACAGATTATTCATTATTTAATAACAGATGTAAGTAAAATATATATTTTGTACCTGTGTCGTTTTCCCAGATCCTGTTTCACCAACTAGAACCATAATCTGGTTTTTCTTCAGCATTTCAAAAAATTTTGGCTTGTATTCCCATACTGGCAATGTTATCCTTTTTTTGAAAAGCTCATAGTAATGAGGTGTATGCGGCAAACCATTAAACTGGTTGATAGACTGGAAATACAGAAAATACATATTATTAAAATGAATACATAAATAGAAATCAGATTTAAAAACTTTGAGTTTCCAGACCAAAGGTTCCCAACCAGGTAGCATTCTATGAGGTGCAAGGTATTTAAAAAAAGTACATTCAATTACTGTTTAAAAATTATTCGCATGACACCAGTGTGCATGCAAATTATATTTCAACTTGCTGATGCGAGTCTGAATTTGGTGCTCTAAAAAAAGGGGGGATTTCCCCTTTTTAAATGTTAATTTTTGCAATGTTTTCTTATTTCTAAGCTTCACTTTTATTCATTAGATTGATAATACAACTTTTTTTTAATTGCTTTAGGGCATACAAGAACATATGATAAATTTTTAGGGGTGCAGGATATGAAAAAGGTTGGGAACTATGCTCTAGACATATTGCTTAGAACAAAACTTCAACAGGACAAAAAATCCTCCCCTTATTTTCAAGGTAATTATTATATATACTTATCCTAAGTAACAAAATTTTTAATGTTACTTATTTTAGATTCTTTATAATTTCAGCATTTTTAGTGAAATATTCATTTACACAGTTTTCTGGCTAATATGTAATTAACTAATTTTTGACTAATTCATAATGCCCTACACAAAATTATGTAAAAATATTTCACTTTATTTTATAATAGTGGCATTTAAATTACTTAAAAACATGTTTGAATTAGTTCAAAGTTATGATTGTATCAATGTGTTTTTTACAAAAAGTCTGATGCCTTTAAGATTACACCACAGCCTCGGGAAGTGTGGGAGAGAGCAAAGTTACATAACTAATTTTTCTTGAAATCAGTTAAAAATTGGTTCCATTATCAAATAAAAGTCCTAATCATGGAACATTTTGTGAAAAATCCATCATTTTCTTTTTTGTGGGAAGTGGAAGGCAAATGATATCGTATTTTTAAACCCATAAAAACTAAATGTACTCACATTTAAACACAACCATTGTAACAGAAGTCATGAAATTTTCAAGACACTCAAAATCATGTACACGGGAATTTTTCAGTTTTAATAAGTAACACGGCCATTTTTATTAAATTTTGTTGTACATTTTATTTCCTTTAAGGTCATAATAGAATGTTTTGGTTTGAGAGAAATGATTGTTTCATCAATATGGAGGTATCAGTGCTGAAGTGAAATTAACAACTGGGACTCTCCACATGTTTTATTACAAAAAAAGTATCAAATGCACATGCGTAAAGCATAGATCATTCCGGATACTGGGTGTCTGGATTTTGGACTTTGTACCATATTGCCAAGAGTGCAATCATAAATGCTGCAACTTTTTCTTTTAAATTCTATTTCAATATATATATTTGTGGAATTTATTTACAATAGAAGAAACTGGGATAAAATATCTGTAGAAACACAATAGCAATCATTCCAAAATTTCTACAAAAAAAGGGGGAGAATTAGATTTGCTTGCAACTTTTACTGATTAATTTTTAGGATAAATACCTAGTTAAAATATAAAATTCATATGTAATATATAAGATTTTGAATTATAAGTCACCATTCATCTTTAAAAAATCACCAGACTGTACCAAGGCTGTTATACTAATACATAAATACCAAACTAATTTTCATCACTAAAATAGATAAAATAAACATTACTTACCTTTACAGTACCAGTAGTTGGAGCTGCTACTGGTGGTTCTAAATAAGGAGTATTAATTACATTTTCTTTGTCTTTTCTTCTTTCAATGTCCTCACCATTATTCTCCAGCCTACAAAAAAAAAAAAAAAAAAAAAAAAGATTACAAATCTAATTTTAACTGGTTTCTTGAAATATTACTTTTAGGACTACACATTTTTAATGTTGCTCTAAATTAAAATGAATTTTTGATTTACTTTAATCAAAAACAGATTACAAGCAAATTAAATATTAAAAAACATTTGGAAATATGCATTCAAAAATAAAAAACTCATTTATCACATATCAATTCCAAATACTTTTATAGTATTCATAAAACACTTCTTAAAATCTCTATTTATATATCTTTGCTATCAGAAAATTAAACGGAAGAAAAAAAGAAATAAAATATATCAAAATGTATGTTCCTGAAATCGAAAAGCTTAAGAAGAAACCTAAAACTTTAACTACAGAGAATTTTTATTTTGCATTAAAAAAATATTTTTGAAAGAAAATTGCTGCAATAGCATAACAACTAATTTTCTATAAAATTCTGCACAAGACTTACAAAATATAATTACTCGGGAAAATTTACTGAATCTTATTTATTTACAACGGACGCAAAACTTTTGATTATAAACATACTAAAAATTTCACAAAATGATGTATTGCTTCTAAGCATAGATAGATGATATATACAGATCCAATTGTAAGCACCACAGAGAAAAAAAAAATTTTTTAAATAAATTTTAATAAAATTTCAAAAATTTGGTTAGCCTATATTTTAGGTTGCTCCTTGGATTATTACCAAGTTGTTTCATTTATGGTAACCTAAGTAGTTGAATATTATGAAAACCCTATTATGATGTGACTGGTTGTGTGATTGCTGTGAACTTGGCTGATGGGAAAGTATTTGTTGGATGTCAGTTAGGAAGTACATCGCATATTGTGTGCTTTGCATAGTAAAATGCCTGCTGTTGACAAAGTGAGTGTTTGGTGGTATAGAAAGAGAGTATAGAAAGAGAGTTTATCTATATATATATAAGTGTTCGAGGAAAAACTTTGTTGGACAGAACAAAAGAAACTTCATTGGATGTAATTCAACAAAATTATATGTGTCCTGTTTGTACGAAGGAAATGCGTATGGTCGAACGTAAAGGTTGTTCAGATCGCTTTGAATGGGTTTGTCGCAAGAAAGGTTCAAATGTTCATCATACAAAGCATTCCATTAGAAAGGGAACATGGTTTGAGGAAAGTTTTCGGATGCTGTTAAGGAATTTTGTGTGCCACAGTCTCAACACACAGAAATTTATAAATAAGGTAAGTGTATATTTCCTTTGTGTTGTGCGCAGATACGATAAGATGTATTTCCTTTATGTTATTTCATTGTTTGATTTAAAATTCAGTTTATTGAAATTATATATATATATATTTTTTTTTTTTTTTTTTTTTTTTGGCTCTAGTGTAGAATTGGGTGTTCATCCAATTTTTAAATGAAAGTAGATCAATGTGTACATGGACAAAGTCACGTCAGTGTGCAGTGCTGAGTTTGTGCTATTAGCTGATGTTTTCTTAAGTGAAAAATGATCGATGTGTACATGGATACTGAGATTGTGCAATTCTTTGACTTGTTATTTTGGTTTTGTGTAGTGGCCATCTTGAAATTGCGGCCAATAGCCAAAAATTACCAACTTTAACCAAGGGAAACCCTTAAATATACTTTTACCAAAAATTCATCTGCAAAAATACTCACTTTAGCCTCCTAGGAGAAGAATCATCGAATTCTTTGGTTTTCCTATAATAAAGAGATCATTTGGTAAAAATCAGTGAATAAAATATTAAAACGAAAATAAATATATTTATATTGATATCCATGTACTTTATTCAAGGTTGAAAGCATAATGTTAATAAAAAAATTACTCATTAATCGAGAGGATCAACCTTTAAGTTGATGTAAGACAATTTACAATATTTTGGTAATCCACAATTATAAATTGCAAATTTAATATTTCCATTATAATGTACATAATACATAAATTATACAAATGTGTGATACAATGTGTTAAAGAAAAAGTGCAAACATCTACCTGTTATATTACTAATTTAAAATTTCAACAAGATGCAAACTAAATGTGGAAAAATCATATTTTAATTGAAATCTGACATTGAACCATAAATCAAACATATACTTTTGTTTTATATTTCTTTTCCCACTTATCATTAAAATCTAATTGTTATTACATTTTTTTTCTTTTTTTCCCTGACTCATTTAATGACAAGATTAGTGTATTTACAAAATCATTAATCTACTGATTAACATACACAGAAGAAGTGAATGTTTTTACGCCTGTATGAAATTACAAAATCTGTTACTTTATGTACAATTTCGAGAATTGGTTCCAAGTTCGCTGTCCTGTTTTTATGCAGGCTGCTGTCTAAAAGTGGTGCTGTAAAATAACTAGAAACAGAGGTAGCAAACCTACAATATGCACATCGTGACATACAAACCCATTTTGAGTGGCACACCCGATGCATTTCCAGAACAATCGATGGAGACAAAAAATTGCAAAATATAAAAATATTTGTCTCTTGCAACATCACTGTCAACATGTGGTATGCTTATCTCAGGTTCGCTATGTTCATGTTCATTTTGTTTTTATATCTAAAGATTCTTGTTTTTTATTTTCATTCGCTTTCCTTTAGCCTTTTCAATATTATCCAAAAATATTTCTCAAAATCTAATTCATCCATGGAAAAGGATGATCAAGACTCAATTGCAATGTCTGCAGTTTGACTGTCCTGATTCGAATTCTCCAATTTTTCTGAGAATAATTTCATTCTTAATGAATATTCATAGATGGCTTTCTTTGCCTTTTTAACATGTTCGTCAACCAAGAAAATTCGGTGTTTTGGATCTACATATATTGAACCCAGCAAGATCTCATCATCTAGCAAACTAGTTTCTCTTTTCTTCATTGAAAAAACTGACTCCTTCTGCAATAAACCCTCCCTTTTAGAAAGAACAAACATCCCATTCTTCCATTCTCGCTTCCGGTCGATTCTTCAGATTGCAGCTTTTTTGTAGCTATATACGCTGTAGAAAGAAGAGTTTCCAATTCTGCAAAATCATTCCACAGTCTTTCTGTTAGTGAAATTTTAGGGTTATCTACATCTTCTAAAAAAAATCTTAATTTTAAAAAACCTCTTTATCATCAAATATGTATTTTCTTATCACATTGTTTGATCAATAATTCCTGCTTGCTTCCTAAGAATGGCATCAATTTTGGGAGTTCTTGCTGCTATCGCTGCTTACCTAAATTTACCAGCGAGATTTGTAACTAAATGAATTAGTTTAATCACTAATGGCAAATATCACATCCATCCTCCTCCCTTATACTTATTTATTAATATGACAAACTAAAAAATAACTATTTATTAATGTATACAGTCCATAAATAAAAATAATAACTCAGCTTGTCATTATTTTTTTTTCAATTCATTTTAATTTAATTTCAAATTCAAACTGTCCAACAAAAACTGGAGTCAGAGTCGACCTGTTTTTAGCGACTCCAGCTCTAACTCCTTTTACCCCAAAATCTGTCTGACTCCGATTCAGACTCCACAGCCCTGCTTTCAGGGGACTTGGTCAGGAGCACCTTTAAGTGTGTGGAATAACTGGAATTCAACTTCTTTTTCTCTTTTGGTACTTAACTTCGCAACGAAAGGTGCAATGCGAGAATGACCTTCTGATATGGCTCACATCCCTGCATTAATTTATGCAGAAATTCATTTATTACAATAACAATTATTATATATGATCATATATTTTTCAAATGTCATTTTCAATAAATGAAAATAAGTTTAAAAAAAAGATTTTTTCAGCAGTAGGTTTATACTGTTATTTATTCTTAAAACAGGTTTGATATTTTAAAATGTCACATATATACTGCTAAAAAAATATGCTCTGCGTTTGAGGAGGCATTAGTAAGTGAGCACACAGCACAAAAGTAGTTCAGTCGATTTCCATCGAGAGATGAGGGCTTTCAGGACAAGCCTCGATATGGGTGTCGATCCACTATCAACAAAAAAGACTTGCTGAAGGAGGACATTAAACGTAATCCACATCTAACATGCAAGAAAACTAGCACAAAGGTTTTCAGTGTTGCAGAAAATCACTTGATTGCATCTGCAGAGATTTGGAAAGATACAAAAGCCGAATAAAGTAAGTTCCTCCCATTTTGACAGAGGAAATAAAACTCCAGTGGTTCACAATTTGCTTTTTACTGTTGTGTGACAAAAAAAGCCTCATACCTACAGCAGATATTGACATATGACAAGAAAAAGGGTATTATACAGTAACCGCAAAAGAAAACGCCATTGGTCATTCCAGAGTTCTGTGGCATTAGCCCCCAAACAGAACATTCTTTAACAGCTTCCATTACAAATTCTTTTGAAAAAAATTTCAAAAAATCATCACATTTTTTAATTTTATTATTAAATACAAGGAAACAAAACAAAATATACATGTTTTAAGTTAAATTTTTAATTTTTTACAGGTGTATAAGCATTTAGTTTTAATATTAGTTTACTATCCCTAGTTATCTTGGGCAAATAAAAAAAAAATTAACATTAGTCATTATATGATAGTTTTTGAAACAGGGGACAACACAAATACCTGACATTCTATACACTGGTATCTGGTCTCTTTCTTATTGGCTTACCTCTGAAATCTCTTTTATGGGAGCACAGAGAACACCGTCTCACTGGATTTGACTTTTTTTTTTTTTTTTTTTCAGTAGCAGGAATAACATCTGGAAAATGCCTTGAGGTTATAATCACTACCTGGAAAATCATCGCTTCCGGTACCTTGCATCATCGCCATTATTTTACTTTTTTCAATGCAACTGTCATTCTTTATATATTACTAATCCACAAGCCGAAGTATACTAGACAATAGGGAAAACACATCACCAGTCCCAACAAAAGAACCACAAAACCAACAAAACTTCACAAACTACCAATAAAAGCTGAATACAGTCAAAAGTCGTTAATTTGGACACCCATAATCCGGAATGATCTATAATCCGGACCTCAAACCTACAAACTTTCTGCGCATGCGTCGCGTTGACGCATGCGCGTAAGACCTTTACCACTGCGAATTTGCGTGTGCGCGTGCGCAAAATATGTTTACGAATGCGCGTTTAATGTATAACGGACGGGATAAGCTAAGCTAAAATTATCTAATTATCTATTTCAGTTAATGTTGCAGACTGCGTTGTTCCTTAATCTTCGAATTGGATCCGGATTATTATTTTTTGCAGACTGTTTGAGCAATTTTATAAAAGTAAGCTTGAACTTTCGATTATGTCAAATAGAATTTCCGATATATATTTACTATTTACTGATATACAAAGCGAAAGTATCTTTCGGAGTCCATTAAACAAAAAATGGAATTGCTGCAAAAAAATGGATAAAGGCATATTCTTTGTTTATCTAAACTTTGTTTTATCTTTAACGCCGCAGCGGCGTGCAATGAATTGGAAGTTGATTTATCAGCACTATCCTTATCTTAAGGGCAGATGTTTTTATTTTATTTGGCTTATAATTGCTTACTCAATGTAGTATTTCATCTCAATGTACTCCGTCTTTGATATGATTTAAATCAAATGCCTCGTCATTATAATTCGCTTCCGATAGCGAAGAAAGTGACATAGGTTATTGAAAACGAAAAAATTTCGATTGAGAAATTAGTCGGTATTCTCGATACAGCAATTATAGGACTTGAACAGCGGAACTTTGTAACTGAACAAGAAATTATGTCTGTTTATAGAATTAAAGAGAATGTATTATCACATAAAAAACGAAGCAACTGAAACAACTTACATTGAAAGAAATGTTTAATAAAGTAAACCAATAAATATTAAGCTTTTCTTTTGTCAATTTTGATACCCTTTAGATCATAATTGTTCTTTATTTCGTAAATTACGGTTTCATATTTTTACTTTTATAATTTCTGCATGCCATTTTACCAGATTTAAACTGATGATCTATAATCCGGAAAAATCGATAATCCGGAATCGCCGAAGTCCCGACGAGTCCGGATTAACGACTTTTCACTGTATCCTTTCATTTCCTCCGAGTAAAACCGTGATAAAAACATGATACTGACAAATTCTGCTTCGCCCGAGTTTTCTCGGGATAATAATTAACTGCAATATAAAGGAACTCGGGATAATCAGGCAAGCGGTTAACAGAATTTAATCAATATGGTATATTCTGTGTATAGCGGACTAGTGCTCGTAAGGCACTCTAAACCACTAGAAAATGGTAAAACTGTCACAGCTGAGGTGTACTCACCCTAGTTGCAGTGGGCTGTAGCTGCATTAAATCAGAAGTAGCCAGCACTAGTGATCATTCTTTCAGACTACACCAGACTTTAAATGACGAAAGCAACAAAGAAGGTGATCAACAGGGTTGGGGAGATTTACCTCATCCTCCTTACTTCCAAATTTACTGCATAGTTATTTCTCACTGAATGCTACTGCACAAACTTTTTGAATATTTGGTATAAGGATCAAACAGGAATCGACAATCGGGATAATTAAGGCTGCTCTTCTCTTTTTTCGTTTACTTATCTTTAGCCAAAGCCTGGATTAATAAACATAATTTTTACCATTTGGTCAGATTATACCAGAATCAGAACAATCACAATGTTAGAAAAAATGGTTTTCTTAAACTCTTCTTATATGAATCCTATATTTCCATGATCCATCTTTACATCTTTTCCAAATTCTGCCATAATGCAACATCAAGTAATGTAAAATCAAGTGATGACTTTATAATGTATAACAGACTAGTAACTTAACACCGGCAGGTAAAAGGTGATTAGTGAGTCAACAATCAATATAGTATAATAAAACAGAAAAGAAAATTTGGTCATCATTTTTGCTTTTGGCAATAAACTATGCCTACCCCCAGTCACCCATTTCCACAAAAAACATTTAAATTCCAACCCTTTGTTGAAACAAAATATCAATTCCAAGAAAAAAATTAAGCTTCCTGAAACCATAGCCATATCTACTTAATGGATAATATTTAAATAATTTTATTCAAAGTGCAAATTTATACCCTTCCTCCTCCACCAAAAAAGCCTACATACATATGGAAACACTCCAAAAAACTCTAATTAGAGAAATTTTATTTTCCAAAGAAAAATAAATACTACAATGCTGAAAATCATGACAATCACTGCTGAAAATGACAGCATTTGAGGGGGGAAAAATAAACATTTTTCCTAAGTAACACTTTACAATCAAATTTACTGAAACATTATTTTTTCAAGAATTGGTGATGGTCATCTTAGGCAAATTTCAATGTAATGTATATTGTTTGTATACATACATAATAAAAAATGCCATACATGCTATGTCCACAGGTTGATTCTAAAGAAGAAATACAACAGAAAATACCAACCAGTGTAACCATTAAAAATGCCTGAAAAGCATTTTTATTTTATTTTTTAAATAATTAAAAAAGCCCTGTGCTAAAATGAGCATAATGAAATGAGGAGACAAAATCTGCTGCTAAATTTTTTATCTGCAATCAATTTTATAACACATAAATTACATTAACTGCCATTTCTGCCAATAACGCATTCTGATAAAATTTCAGCCCTATCCACATCATTCAACCTACTGTACAACTTATAATCTGCAAAATCCAGATAATTTTGGGGGACCATGTAAATGTTTTCATCTTTTATGGATAATATAAAAAGTACTCTTTATATCAAAGATTTTTAAAAACCTGAGACAAGGATACTACAATGTTACTGAATGGAATGGAGAAAATAAAAGAAATAAGCTTAAAAAATTATATTTCTGTAAAAGATACTGTAACAGACCCGGGCATTAGCTCATTTGTCACTGGTGTTTCTGTTAGTTATTCATGTCGTCATCTATAGCACAAAGTCTATAATCCGGACGTCCATTATCCGGAATGATCTATAATCCGGACCTCAAAGCCACAAACATTTTTTTTATTTGTATGCTTTATACATGCGTGTAATGTGTTTACGCATGCGTGTCTAATGCGCGCATGCGTCGCACTTCCAAAGAAAGTGAAAACGAAAATTTTCGATTGACAAGTTAGTCAGTATTCTTGACACAGCAATTAAAGGACTTGAACAATGGAACTTTGTAACGGAACAAGAAAATATGTCTGTTTATAGAATTAAAGAGAAAGTATTAGCACAAAAAATGAAGCAACTTAAAAGAAAAGAAATGTTTAATAAAGTACACAAATAAATATTAAGCTTTTTTTTGTAAATATTGATACCCTTTAGATCATAATTGCTCTTTATTTCATAAATTATGGTTTCATATTTTTAATTGTATAATTTCTGCATGCCATCTTATCAGATTTAAACTGCTGATCTATAATCCGGAAAAACCCCTAATCCGGAATCGGCGAAGTCCCGATAAGCCCGGATTACTGACTTTATACTGTATTAAAACAAGGTGGAAAAGGCAGCAGCACTGCCCAAGTGTCCCACAAAGTGGTAAATGACCTTGGCGATCAAACATAGGTCTTTTCCGTAATAATCAATTATCTTACTGCCATTGCAAATGTGAATTTATGTGACTGACTCTGATGTTTGAATTGTTTCATGGTGTGGGTGTCTGTTTGGCCTTCGGAACCACTACAGCCTCCAAATACTTTTAATGCATTATAAAGGTACACAATTCAGCACAAGCTGTGCATGTGGTTATGAACTCTGTGCATCAAGATGATTCATTACTGCATTAATGGGCTGAAGCATCAATGCATGGGCATGCCTAGCTAGGCCTGTTGCTAAACTGTGAGATGTGGCATGTGCGACATCAATTGTCTACCCTGGTAGGTGAAGGTATTTGTTCTTATCACATCCGGTCTGCATGAAGTAATAAAGGAATTAGCTTGATTGTTTGTTTTTGTTTCTGCTTGTTTCACCAGAACACAGATGGGAAGTACAGCATTATAAGGTGTCCATCTCCCTGTCAGTGATAAATGACCTTGATTGAAACTGGGTCTGTTTTGTAGTAGTCAGGTATTGTACTGACACTGCAAAAGTACACCCATGGAATTGCCTGTGGTATTTAAACAGTTTCATGGTGTGATTTTCTGTTTCTTTCTCAGGACACTTGCAATATCAATCTCTGAGGTAGATCTAACAAATACCTTAAAAACAAGACTGATTCCTTCAGGTCTTTTAGCAAAGCTCTTAAAAGTACTTTAAAAAGTAGTCTATTAAAAGGAACATGGGAATAGACGTTTAATGCTGTCAAAATTGCTTCCGATAAAAAACTTTTTTAAAACAGTAGATGTAAAGGCCCATCTACACGTAGCGATTTGGTCGGCCAACAATATCTGAGATAGCTCGTCTGTCCACACGGAACGATTTTCTCGTTAATACAGGAATGGACTCAGCCAATCACTGTGAAAGAAAGTCTTCCCGCCCTCTACAGCGTCACACTGTTTACGATTTGTAAACAAAGCTTACGGTGTTCTCAAATAGTCAAAATAATGGATGACTATTTTACATTAAATTGCTACTATAGATACAACTACAATTTTGAACTTAGCTTGAATTTGAAGGGGAAAAAAAAAAAGAAAATGCATTTAGACCAGGAATTGGGTCAAACGACGAGAAATTAATGGTGCCTTCGTAATACTCTGCTCCAGGAGTTGCGTATTGAAGACACGGTACAATTCGGAAAGTATTTCCGGATGATGCCACGTGATTTTGATTTTTTGCCAAATTTAGTCTGCAGCAAAATTTTTAAAAATATACTTTTCCTTTGTGTACTGAGTACACAGATTACTCCTTTTTTAATTTATTTATTTATTTATTTATTTAATTTCATTTTCTGGCACTCCTATTTGTGCACTTAAATCTTGAAATAATAAATAACCATGTTTCAGAAAAATAAGTAACTACTGTGCTTTAAATCAAAACCTTTATTAATGAGTAAATAGGCAATAATGTCATTAATATCAAACAAGTATGAGTAAAAAAAAACAGTATGAGTAATAAAGAATAAAGATTACTACATTACAAAGCAGCAATGTAATTTCAGTGCAAAAATTTCAATATAGTCTGAAAACTATGATCATATGAATCTATCAGTTAATCAGCTAATAAAATTTAGCAATATTGTATTAAATTTTGCTGTAATTTGTTTTCGCAAAACTCAACACAAAACTAAGTTTGTGACTTGTGACTTTCTTTTGAGCTGGTAACGCAAGTACTAATGTTTTCCACCAGTAGATATAAAACACGTGCCAACTACCATTCGAAAAATAAAAATAAAAGCGTTAAAATTCAATAAACACCACATTCGTAGGCAAAAAAATAAAAAGTGAGTTTTAAGTCATGCAGTTTGAATTTAGTGATGGAGAAACGAAATTAAAAATGTACTTGCAGGCGCAGAAAGTCCAAAAGTTAAGGTGGGGGACTGAACCCATGACCTAGATGTACAGAAAAAACCTGCTCTGCTCCTTACCACTGGACTACAATCGCTCGTGTAGGGGATGTCAGAAAAGCTATGTACTTCGTCACCTAATTAACTCCCATTTTCAGCGAAGTCAACGAGTCTCCGCGCTGCTTTAAACCAGCTCGTAATTTCTCGACTAGAGATTTTGCTTTTTGAACTCGACTGGAGATTTTCAATAAGTGCGACCACAGTTTCAAGTAGTTTCTGAATATTTTCATCTAGTACCCATGACATGGCATCATATAGTTTGGGACTTTTCTGGGGTGGAGTTAAATAATTTTCACGCTGATAAAAATATTTGAATTAAAAAGTATGGAAAGACAAAGCTTACCAAAATAAGAAATCCCTTATTTTTTTGTTTTAAATTAACATTACCGTGTCCACAACACAACATTTCCTTTATAGAACTATATTGAAAATTTAAGTTTCGCTCCAACAAATGCGCCATTTTATATTCCAAATAGGAAAACACGTGATACTCAAAGCACTTATGGCTAGAGACTCTGATTTTATCGTACGCTAGTGAGCAGTGAACACCAGTTCTGAAATCACGGCAGATAACATGACTGATTTTTGGTGCATGCGCAAATCCTTAAAATTGTTGCGCTACGAGAAAGACACCCGAGAAAAATCGCTTCGTGTAAAAAATTTATTGTAAAATGTATTTCCTTCTAAATAAGCACATGAAAAACAATAAATAAATAAAGGAATTTACCTCTTGGCTTCATCAACATCAAGCCTTCCTTTTTTGCTCGGGATATCATAGTCTCTAAAATTAAAGATACTTTGCTTTAGAATACATATTCAAACTTTATATTAACTTATTATTCAGATATAAGTTATAAAAAATAATATATATATGTATAAAGTCATGCCTCCATATCCATGGTTTCACTTATCTGCAGTTCAGAGCAGGAGAGAGAAAAAAAGTTTCATTTTTGAAATGAAACTAAAACACCTAACATTTGCTAACCTAACTGAAATATAACACCTTAAATGAATCCCATATCGCCTTCTCGCAATATGCGCATCAAATTTGGATTGATGTGATTAAACATGATGAAAAGAAAAACTCACAATCTTATATATACATGGTCAGATAACATGAAATCTCTCAAACTCCGAGCTCTGCTCTGCATAAAATAACATGGTAAAGGATCTTTTTTATCAGTCATACAGTATTTCACTTAATCTTTGTTTTCGTACCCAAACTTTACCTTTTTAAATTTTCATTGCAAATTTGCTCTGGTCTCATCAACATGTTATAGGCCAAAAAACATAAGAACAATGATGCTATACAGCAGTGGTCTTCAAACTTTGCTGACTCGTGGAACTCTTAAGAAGGGTACAACATTTTTGGAGAATTTCACCCCATGTTTAGAAAAATATATCTTAAGATGCAAAGACAATTTTAAAGAAAAGTATTGTATTTTTCATCAAAAAAAATTTTTATTTACTCATTAATTCATGCTCTAGGTGTCACCAACCCTTGCTTTATATTTAGTGACAAGAATGTGCTTCCCCTTTTTCCAGATAAACTATCAAAGTGTAGCTCTGTTCATGCTATCTGCAGTCACATTTCGTAATTTTGCATTTAATTTGTTTGTATACTTTGTTTTCGCTGCCCATATGTTCAGAGAAATTTTTCACCGAAATACAGTGTTCCGAATGCATCTAAGCATTCTGCATGAATATACAACCAAAAAATTTGAAGCTCCTCTTACTTAAATTTAGATTTTTATAGTTGAATCTGTTAATATGTAGGTAAGTTCCTTTCCGTAATCCTCTCGCTGCGCATCCCACGATTTTCACGGGAAACATAGAAGTAGCAAAATTTGCGCAACCCGTGATTTCCATGGGGATGAATTTTTGCCGTTTAACTGTGCAACCCGCTCTTTCCTAGTTCAGTAATTTTATAGCTCCATCTTTATCAATCAAAGTAGATGTCCCATCAGTTGATATTCCAAAAAGAATTTGATGAAATATGAAACACAGCATTATCATTAATTCGTAAAGTACATAGCTACTGCTTTATTAGGTGATGCTTCTCAACTTGTGATGCAACATTTTTCCATGCTTTCAGCATCTCCCTTATTTTATTTACTGTATCCACATATAACAACCACTTTTAATTTTAAAAAATGCAATCAAAATTTACACGTGCACACTATATGCCAGATATAAAAATTACAGATTTAAAAATAAAAAAAATATGAGAATATAAAAATGACAGGGTAGAGTAGACTTTAAGGTACCCCTTGTATTTTGGTGAAGTTGTTGTTTGATTTATCGCCAAGTTGTTTCATTTATTTATGGTAGCCTGAGTAGTTTGTTATGGAAACCCTATTGTGACGTAATCGGTGGATTTGGGAATTTTGAATCATGAGATGTTTTGTAAGCCTTTTTGTGGTGTGTGTTGGTTTGACTCTTTAGACGGTAGAATGGCCAAATGTAGTAGTGTCCTGTATGTAGGAAGGATATGCGTCTAGTCGAACGTAAAAACAGTTTAGTTGATTTGAATGGTTGGAGGAAGAAAGGTTCAGATAGTCACTATGTGAAGCGTTCGATCAGAAAGAGTACCCGCTTTGAAAAAAGTCCTTCGAGTATGATTGATATTTTAATTTTTGAGTGGTTCTGGGTGTACGAAGCAAACTCGAAAATCATGGAAGTGAATATTTGCTTTTGGTAGTCTTAAATGTATAACAAGTTTTCCTTTTTTATGTTATTTTATTGTTTGGTTTAAATGTATTTTATTGAGATTTTCATTTTTTTTTGTTTGCCTATATTGTAGAATTCGGTGTCCTTTGACTTTTAAGTGAAATATATCGATGTGTACATGGGCAAGAAGGAGTGCGCATTGCAAGTTTGTGCAATTCTGGAATTTTTTTAAGTGAAAATAGTCGACGGGTACATGGATAAATTAAAAGAGTGCGCAATGCCTTTTTGGCAATTGAGGTTTTTTTTTAAGTGAAAAATAGGTCACGTGTAATGGATAAAGTCAAGGGTGCGCAATGCCATTTTTTTGCAATTTGGGGATACTTTAAGTGAAATAAGTTGATGTGCATGGATACCGATTTGTGCATTGCTTGTCTGTTATTTTGGCTTTGTGTAGCGGCAATTTGGCACCAAATCGCTGCTTCGCAAGCCAAAATAACGTCAAAGAATTGCACAAAATCTATCCATGTACCGACAAAAATCGCCAAGTTTCGCTAAGGGCTACCCTAAACTATACTTTTACCAAATGAATTTAAACAAATCTAAATTTTAACAAACATGTATATACGCAAAAAAGTAAACAGGAAAGCACTATGGTGTGGTGAGATATTTCATGTTAAATTAATTAAAAAATGTGCAAACATATAAAAGATTTAATTTTCGAACTAATCTACAATATCATTTAAATTCAGATAGCATCTTTCTAACATCCATGTATTCCACTACTGTTTTAGATTTTCTTTGAATGGTTTATTGACACACACATCTAAAGGTTGAACTACAGGCATTAATATGTATGGAAAAACTGCCATGTCTGTATTACTCTTTCAAGAATTTCTTCATATTATTCATTAGATGGAATCTGAACATGCCTTAAAATAAAAGCCTTCTTGAACTCTTTAAGGTAACACGGTGATTTTGCCAAACAATTTCTTATTTACAATTTCACACAGTTTGTGTCCATTCATCTTTTCTCATGAACATGAATGAAAACTCCATTTGGAAAATTAGATTTTGGCATTGTCTTTCTTTTAAAAATAACCATGAGTTTTAATTTTATACCATCTGCTAAACAGGAAAGCACTATGGTGCGGTGAGATATTTTGTGACCTGCTGTTTTTATACAAAGTGTTTTTGTTCCTTTCACATCAACTGCTTTACTTACTATCAAATCAAACATTACTGGTGTTTGATCAATATTTTCAATGCGACAGTAATTCCTGCCCCCTTCGTGAGTAAAAGAAAAACAACAACAGCATACTTCTGGAACCTTATCAACTGATTGTCCAAATCTTTCGGAAGCCTTTAAAAAACTCTTGTTTTTTATCTAACTAAATTATTCCATGCCATCAATCCACTACACCAACTCAAAGTTGATTTAAAGTTCTTACTTGCATTCTCTTTTGCCCACGGCAAATAAATGCATGCTGTTCCTCATTACAATAAATCCATTCTTGGGATTTTCTAGAACCCATTTTCATAACACTTTCCTCTAAGATAAATAACTTTGTTGCTCCTTTATGAAAAGCACATTTATTCTTTGGTACATTTATATTAACCATTGTGAGTTCCTTTTTCTTCCACTCATGTATGGAACTTTCAGTAACACCAAACATCTTGCTGCACCACAATTTCCATTTTCTTAATCAAATTAAATAACTTTGCATTTGAAACCAGCACTGTGTTTGGTAGAAGCTATATTTACTACTCTGAGGTACACTTTATCAAATGTACTTCAACTATAGCAAATATGAGTTACTAGATGTTCACTTCAAAATCATGGTTTGAAATGGTTACAGAATTGTAAAACATATGACTCCTAATTCCATGAATTCATTCATGGAGGTGCATTTTTACCCCAAATTATGTCCCCATTTTCTTGAAACCCTTGAATAACATTCTTGTGCACACTTGCATTGAATAGAATCCAAACTCTTTGAAGAATTATTTACTCCCTGTATTTGAGTCATTGTTCGAAAGCCTAGGAAAAGTCTGAATAAATGACTTCAAAAGACAAAAACATTGCACATGTATCTTTCAGTCCCCCCCCCAAAGAAAAGGTTGCACTGAATACGCCTAAAATTTTAAAAAAAAAAAAAAAAAATTAAGTTTGAAATTATGCCTGCATGTTATACACCAGTGCACATTATTCATTGGAATATAATGCTTTATTTGGAACAGGGTTTTGGAGGGGGGGATCCACCAGCTTCGTCCTCCGTCCCTGACAAAATTTCCTTCACAACCTGTTACTCTGAAAGAGAATGCAGCTCCACAAGCTCTTTGGTGGTCAGCTTCTGTATATGCTCTTCCACTAGCTCATCGATGTCATTGCCATCCATCTCTAATCCATAATCTTAGCCAGATATGCAGTCTCTCCGATTACAGGCTCCACAAGTGCTTGCTCAAACCTCTTGGAGTCGTATTTGACAATTCTGTCCAGCTAAAGCTTCTTCCTCACAAAAATAAGTGTTCTCTTAGTGATCCTCTCTCATGCCCAGTTGATCATCTTGAGGCAGGGAACAATGTGAAAGTGTCCTTTCCAAAACTCTGAGAATGAGACTGGTTCCTCTACCTCAAAAGAATGCTAGAAGAGTGCTTTTGTGTAGTTTTTTTCAATTTGAAATGATTTGCTGCTCCATGGGAAGAGGCAGAAACTGGATCTTGACAAATTTAAAAGTGTTCTAGTCTTGAAAGATGGGCAGCAGCCTCACCCATAACAATAGAGTAGCAAATTCATCACAAGCAGTTTTTTTTTTTTTTTTTTTTTTTTTTTTACAAACAAACTATTCCTTGATCCAATATGTAAACATGTCACCCAAGTCTTATTGTTGGACCTCTATATGGCATTCAGCGTGCTCTTCTGGACGTAATACTTGAAGGCTCATGGATTGTCCAAATGGTAATGAGGTTTAATTTTCAAATCACCACTTGCCATTTGCACTGAACAGCGAGATAGTCTTTTACTGACTCACAGCAGTCCCTTCTCCTCTGCTGTAATATAAATTCACTTCGGCATCTTTTTTCAGAAAAGTCCTGAATTATTCTGTTTTAACGATCACTATTAAAAACCTGTTGCGACAGAAAATCATCAGAATTCTAAAGCTTCTTGAATACGTCAATGAAGTTGAATACGTCAATGAAGTTCTCAGCTGCCTTTAACTGGTCAATTTTTTACCAGAAATGTTCATAAAAAAAGCATATTTTTTACTGCATATAAATGAATTCCAAACTTGTTATAAAAGAAAAATGAAAGGTTTTTTTCCTTAATTTGCATAATTAACATTTTTTAAATTTTATATATTTCTAACACTTATGCCCCTAAATGTTTGCTTTTTGCAATCACAGAGTACATGCAATGAAAACTATATTACACATATCTCACGAACAATTATCTAAAAAAAAGCCATATATCAAAAATTCAGTTAATCTTTGGATTATGGTAACTTGGCGATTTTTT